ATATATATATATATATATATATATATTTGATAGGTAGTATTTTTTAAAAAATTAATTAACTACAAGGCTACAAAGATTTATAGTCATTTAAAATTATTAATTCAAAAAATAGATTAAAATATATATTAAATTATATTAAAATGATGTTTTAATATAAATAATAAGATTTAAATATCCTTCAACTCTTAACATCTTACGGTTACGTGACAAGACTAGAATTATTGAAACGACTTTTTGTTCGCAGACAGTTCGTGTTCGACTGGCTAAGTAAACGAGTTGAGCATGAACACATTTTTTATTCGAAATATAAACGAGCCAAATATGAACAGTGTCATTTTTTAATGAGATGAACGCGAGCTGAGTCTGGGCTCGCTCGTGTTCGACTCATTTATGCCCCTGCTTAAACTTCTTTGGTCTAAGAGCATGATGAAATCTTCATAACCTTCATTTTTATATTTTGGAAGTGATTAAAAGTTGACAAAATCTAAAGAGATTGGAATGCTCAAAGAATTACATTGGATTATCTCTTCTTTTTTTTCCCTTGATTTTCTTAAATATGAATTTTTGATTTTATTATATTTATTTTACCATGTAAATATTTAAAAAATGTATGGTAAATAGAAGTCCTAAAATAGATTTTAAATTTATTTAAAATATTTATAAAATATAGCTATTCTCCTAAAATAAATGGTAGAAAAGCTACTAATAATATTTAAAATATTCAAATATTATGAATGAGTAATGAGTCACATCAATTCATACATTCAACCCAACCAACATATAAACCAGCCTTTTTTGGCCCCCTTCAAATTCTAATTTTTTTTTTTCTCAATAAAAAATTAGCATTTTGAATATACCCAAGAAAAAAAAAAACCAAATCATGGGCTACCCAAGTCCATGTGACAAACTCAATTGATGAAGAGGCCCAATTGTTTCCAGATTTAATGGGCCCATTAGCATTATTTGTTATTAATATATAGTGCCTATAGTCCATTAAAAGAAAAAAAAAAGGAAAAATATATATTTATTTTGATATAAGTGTAATATACATATAAAACTAATATTGTAGTAATCTAGAAGTATATTGAATAAGCTTTGAGGCACAAACATATCAAAATTAGAACAAATTCATCAAAACAAGATGAATTTTTAAATCATTAATGTATTTTCTTAAACTATTGTGAAGTGAATGTCTAGAGATATCAAAGAAAATTTTATTAATGAAATAAAGCAATTTAATTTTCATGTGAAATACTCAAAATACAAAATTATAGTCATAATGTATAATTTAAACTTTTTGAGAAGCTAAAAAACTTTGAGATAAATAAATAAATAAATCTCACCATAGGAAAATAAGCGAGCATCGACTGAATTTTGTTGTTGGTTATTTACCGACTAAATATGCAGCTGAATGGAAATTGTAGGTTAGTGATTGAAAAATTGATTGATTTTTCAGTTGGTATAGCTTTTTCACTTAAAATTGGCTGATCACTGGATGAGATTCAGACGTCAATTCTAATACCTGAAATTTTAGCAAGTGATCAATTGAAAAGTTGTATTAATACAGATGTTATAAGTTCAAGAGTTCGCCTTAAATACAAATCTGCCTTCGAGATGAATGATTCTCCGTCGATAAACTAAGTATCGCCCGAGATAACCGTCACTAAATCTTTTATACAAGTAAAGTTAAAGAGAAAAAAATCCTTCGGGTAAAGAACCAAGATCAACATATCCTTTAAATTTTCAGATCTTATCAATAATCTCAAGAATGTAACCATAGACCATAGAATGGTTACATTCTTGAGATTATTGATAAGATCTGAAAATTTAAAGGATATGTTGATCTTGGTTCTTTTACCCAAGGCATATCCAACAAGAGCTAGATTCCATAGCTTTGTTCCTAACTTCACTTTCAAATCAAAGAATGTGACGTTATCTTATGCACAACTAATATAAGAAAGATTGAAATCACAAAAATTCTTAACATTCAAATAAATCAACTCTTCCCAATTCAGAGTTGATCCATACCCAAAAAATAAATCCAGAGGGAGATAAATTCAATATGGAAAAAGAAGATAGATTCATATGAAAGAGGAGCAAAAACCCAAAAATAGAAGAAATCATACGAGAAGATAATAAAAAAAACCCTAAATTTACCCAAGACAAAAAAATGAAGCGATTCTCCAAGAAACCCTAAAACACGAGAAAATATCATGTTCGAATACCGCACGTCTGAACGACCAATAATCGAGCATCGTGTTATCGTATATGCCATCAACAGACGACATAACACCCACAGAGAGACAGAAGCCCTACAAACCCTACTCTCCTCCAACAAACCCTAATAATTATTGTGTTACGTTATATTTACTTATTTATTTATATCATTCTTTTGATCAAATCACGGAAAAGGAAAGAACCATTAATTACAACTCCATAATCTCCCCCCCACCCCCGCCACGAAGCTTCCTCGAAGCTCACTCCCACTTCCCTTCTCCCCCTCCTTTAACCTCCCCCACCTCTCCTCCCTCTCCCCCCCACCGCCCTCATTTTCTCTCTCTACAGCTCCCCCCTCTTTCTCAATCACTTCTCTTCCCTCTCCGGCATCCATGAAGCTAATCAGCTTCACCACCTTCTTCTCCAAGAAATCCAAATCCAAGCTCAAAAAGAAGAAAACCAGCAGCGAATCTCCTTCCTCTCGATCGTCATCCACCACCTACTCCTCCGACGATCTGACCCCCAAATCCATCCTCCCCCGCCGCCACTCCTTCTCCCTCGCCATCTCCGATCTCTTCACCGTCTTCGATCGCGACGGCGACGGCAAGATCACGAAACGCGAGCTCGAGAGCGTCCTCCGTCGTCTCGCCCCCGATCCCCCCACCGACGATGAGCTCACCTCCATGGTCGCCGAAATCGATCTCGACGGCGATGGTTGCATCAGCCTCGAGGAACTCGGGGCCATCGGATCCGATACCCTGGCACCCCCAATCGGAGGCCGCGAGCTCCGCGACGCCTTCGCTGTCTTCGACACAGATGGAGACGGGAAGATCTCCGCCGAAGAGCTTCTCGGCGTTTTCATGGCGATCGGCGACGTCGGCTGTACTATCGGCGATTGCCGGCGGATGATCGCCGGCGTTGATTCGAACGGCGATGGGTATGTTTGTTTCGACGATTTTGTTCGGATGATGGACGGACAGAGATGTTAGGCGTTATGAACGAACGGTGATGATGGATGGGATGGATGGAAGAAACTTTAATTAAATCAAAAAGGCTACGATAAAATATCGTATATTACATTTATTTGTGATTAAAAGATTTTGGGACTGAAAATTTGGGGGTGTGTGTTGAAATATTGAAATATATGTGGTTGTATTTATGTAATTTTCTTAGAAAGGTCTAGAAGTTCTATGTTTTGTGACTTAAATCTAGCTTTAATATATTATTAAATGAATATTTGTTATTCAAGTTTAATTCTCTACTATTATTTGAACTTCAACCATGAGATTAATCAATTGTGTAGAATTGTAGATCTTAGAGTGTCTTTGGGGTTGCTTGTGTTTATCCAGATAAACAACTTAATCTTGAAACGTAGCTTGTTGCGGGGTTCGACCCGCGGTCTGCGTTTAGTATAAAACCCCAACCGCGTTTTCAGATAAGTTGTCGAAACGTGGTTTTCAAACGATGAGACGACGTTTTCATAAGCTGCCCCCAAACGGGCCCTTAATGAGAGTTAATAATTGTTAAGTATAATTTGCGCAAATTGTTTAAACCATTGATTTTGATGCCAATCATTCTTTAGGTAATGAATTGCGTGCAAGTTGTCTTCCATGGATTGGTAGATATATTTTTCTTAATTTATAAAAAATGATGAATAAATGTTCGTGGTGTATGTGAATTGTGTTTGAGCAATGTAAACATGTATTCATATTTGGTTTGTTTATATATTTATATATATATTGTTCGAAATTGGTTCGTGTGAACAGTCTATTCGTGTTATGTTAGAAAGAATATTCGTATTCGATATCAACTTGTGTTAGGCTCAGATTGGCTTGTTTAGATTAATTAGATACATGGATGTTGGGTGTTAAATTGAAACATGGGCTATTCTTTTATAATAAAAAACGCAAAATCGCATAAAGACCCGAGCTATGATGATTTAAATTTAAATATAAATATATATAATATATTATTATATAAATAATATATGTAATTTTTATTTTTAAAAGCTAAAATGAGCCAAACAATGATGATTTAAATATAAATATAATATATTATTATATAAATAATATATATAATTTTCATTTTTAATGCTAAAATGAGCCGTACACAATAAATGCTTATTCGTGTTTCGCTCGTCTATAATTCAAGCTTGAAAAATTAATTTGTTTTCAGCTTGCTTGCTCAAGATCTATTTGAACATGAGTTACTTAACAAAACACGGGTTATTCACAAACGATGAGTTTTTTTTATAGCCCTACCTATTATTGTCAATAAGTTTATGCTTGTCATTACCAATAATATTTTTGCACAGTATCATCAACAACGTAGACACATGCATGACTTCGTGATTGCTAGTCTCGCCTTTTATCAATAATCTCTTGATGCCATCTTTAAGAACTCAACATTTTCCCTACTTTCTTCTAGAAAGTTATCTTCTATTGAACATATCTACTATGATGTATCAACAGTTTCTTAGGATGTAGGGAATAACATTAAGTATAACTTGTAACGTTTATTAGTATAAATAAGGATTTGTATGGGCATATGTAGTTATTTGAAGAAGCAACTGTGAAGTTACTGCAGAAGAAGTTTGATATATCCCCATTGTATCTTCTTCATCTAACACGAATCTCAAGGCAGCTTTTTGAGCAAGAAATACTCAAACATAGATAAAAACTCTTCAATAACTTTGATTTCAGCAAACCTATAGTCAAACTGACTCGTTCGACGAGACAGACCTAATTATATCAAAATTAGTCCAATCCGAGTTAAATCAAGCTTAGATTAAGACATTAAACCATTATTCGAAGATTTGAGACATATTGAGAAGGTCAAATGGATGTCAAAATCGGCGAGTTCATAGTCGAATCGATCGTCTCAGCAAGAAAAATCCAATGAACCCAATATCACTCAATTTCAGCATCATTAAAGCACTCAAATGTCCGACTGTCTTCTCAGCAAGAAAAATCCATCGCCGACAATCGTCGACCACCGCCGACTGTCGTCGACGCCCGCCGATCACCGTCAACCACCTTCAACTGTCGTCGACATCCGCCGATTGTCTTCGACCACTGTCGACTGCCGTCTACAACCACAGACCGCCGTCAAGCACTACTATCGCTGTCAACCACCATTGACCGTCATCAATAGCTGTCGACCGTCATTGATTTCCGTCAATCACTATCAACCACCACTGACTGGAAGCCGTCAGTCGACATTATAACTTAGAAAATCTAGTAACACTTTCCCGTTTGTTCGACACGGGTCTCTGTAATCATCAACATATAGTGAATTTTTACAACTGGACTAGACCCCACATTTTTTTTCTTTTACGGCTTTTTTCACGTAAAAATTTCTGCTTTCATTACTGGTCAATTTTTTCACTTGAGTATGTGTTGAATCCTCCTTCAATGTTAAGACGATAATCCATTACTCTACCCCCACAAATTTTCCAGCACACAAGTGTGGTTATTAAAAAACTTATTTTATTTTGAGAAGTCAAACTGCTGCTTTCTGGTATTTAAAATTAGGTGACCATTTTCATATAAATAATTGAATAATTCGAAAAACGCCCATCAATTAGAAACCATGTAATTTCTAAATAGAAAATTTGGCGATTCAGAACTTTTTCAAAATTGTTTGACATTTTCTAAGGTTTAAGATATAAATAAATTGTTCTGTAAATTGCATTTTAATTCAACAGAGTTTGGATGAGAACATTCAGGCTTAAATTTAATCAGAATATATTTAATGGCAGTTAAAATTATTTTATGATGAATGTAGGGCTGTCAAAACGGCTCGTTGTTCGCGAACAGCTCGTGTTCGGCTCGTTAAGAAGCTCGTGTTCAGCTCGTTCGGTAAATTAAAGAGCCAAAAACGAACAACACGAACAAATATATATATATTACTGATCAATTATATATATATCTTTGATGAGTAGTATTTTTTAAAAAATTAATTGACTACAAGGCTACAAAGATTTATAATCAATTAAAAGTATTAATGAGGAAAATAAAATAAAAATTATTAAATTAGATCCAATCCTTAACATCTTTCGGCTACGTGATTAGAGTTGTCAAAATGACTCTTTG